TCAGAAGCCAGCAGGGGCTGAGCCATCTCTTCACCCAAGGGCAGGCACTGTGGGAATGGATGCCAGGTGCGTGGCATCCCTCGGGTCAGCCCTCCAAGGAACGCTGCCCACGAATTGGCAGGCTGGGGGCCAGATAATGAATACTCCACATTTTTTGGCGGCTCAAAAGCCTGGTTGGAAACAGTCATCATTTTATTCTGCAGCAACCACAGTTCTTCGTCTGAGTGCTGTAGGGAGGGGCAGACCATGGCTGTTGGGGTGGGGCTGGTAGCTACTCCTGCACTCTGTGGCCACTTCCAAGGTCAGACTGGCCCTGGCTCCCATTAGGGTGAATCAAAGCAACTAGGTTGCTAATGGCTTCGGGAGCCTGGCACATAGGAACCTGGCTCTGAGCCCTAACCTGCAAGGGTCACTTTTGATGTTAAGGACCCAGAAAAGGCTCAGAGCCCAGCCCTGTCCCAAGGCCCTCAGCGCTGGTGGAGCACAAAGGCTCAGTATGTCTATGCTACAGAAGCCAAGCAAGACGCTTCTAGACTCGTGTCCAGAGATTGCCAGACCAGTAGTCTACCTTCACTCTATTATGTGGGAAGGAGGCTCTAGGGAGTTCTCTCCCATTGAGAACCCACAGGTGTACAAGGCACAGTGTTCTGGCTAGGCTTGGACCTACCTGGCCATCCTCCCATGTGATAATGGACCCCCCCATGACTCTTCCTCTCAGCATCCACTCTGGGACAAGCTTTTTATGTACACCACCAATGGGACAGTGCCCAGCCCAAGGTACAGTGAGGTCATACAAAGTCACATTGAATGGCCGCTCAGCAGCAGAGGTTTGGGGGTAAGGCTGTCTCCCAGCACTGTTCTCAGCTAGACTGATCCCAAAATGGGGCACCGCCAGCTCATACTCCAGGTTGGGCCACTGAAGATCCTGCTGGTCCTGCTCATCTGGGGCAGTGTCACAGAGGAACCCAAAGGTCAGAGTCAAGCTGATCTTGGTGGCTACAAATAGGTCTTAGGAGTCTGGTCAGTGGGCCCAAGGTACACCCATCCAGCCCTGCCCATTGCATCTTGTCTGCTCTGGACTACAGCTCCTGCCCCACCAACAGCCCCATGGCTGGGTACCAGGAGACAGGTGGGCAGGAACAGGGAGCTGGGGCAGCTCAGAAGCAGTGTGAAGAAGAGTAGAGCTGAGACTGCTCTCTGGCAGGTAGGCTACACCCAGGTACAGAGGCATGGCCTTAACAGTGTAAAAGTTCAATGGGCCAGGCCCTGAGACCCCCTCTGTAGAGCTCCTGGGCCCTACTCCGCTCCCACTGTACTCTCAGCCTTGTGATGGCCCAGGCCAGCAGCACCAGCTACCAACACAGGGGTCCCCAGATTTCCATTTCTATTGACCCAGGAAGGCTTCATGCCTTGGGGATGCACATGCCCGAGGCCAGATGCAGAGACCTCAGTCTGCAGAACAGGTGGTACATAAATACAGCCCTGGTGCTTCCTGGGTACAGTCTGAGAGGTGTCCTGACACACCTGAGGGCCCAAAGCACCGAGCCTGTGTGGGACTGACTCAGTTTCCCCACCCAACCCGGGCTGTTTGTGAGATCTAGTACCAATGAGCTGCCTATACCTCAAGCTCTGCAAGACACCATAGTGCACACTGGGCGAGTACCATCTTGAGGGGAGTCTTACCCTCCTTCACGCTGAGCTAGAAGCTAAAGAAATCCCAGCCCCTTCTGCAGATGTGACTGATTTTTCAGCCCAACTGACGGCCAGGAAATATAGGGGCGGGTGTTAGACCACGGTCTGAAGTAGGCATGGAGAGGCTGAGGGAGACAGGACAAACTGCCAGGGGAAGAGAGGCTGGTCAAGGCTTGTGGGCATCCACGACCCCTAGGTGCCTCACACGGTCCCACAAACCCTCCAAGCCACCTCTTCCTGTTTACAGATGGGAAACTGAGGCTCCATGCACTAAGGTACCTAGCTGATTGGGCACCCACTCCATGGACTGCATGTGAATGAGGGACAACATTCCATGCAGTCTGTAGGGTGCTAGACAGCCATGGAGAGGTCCACATCATGGGGAGCCACACAGCATCACTCCATGCCCACTTCACTTTTAAATCAAATCAACAATCTTTTTATTTTTTTAATATTTTAAATTTTCCATCAGTCTCTGACCCACAATTAGGTCTGACACCCAGGGCAGAGCACCCTGGTGCAGCACTCAGGAACCAAGCAGTCTTATTTTATTCCCCCAACTGCGGGCCCTGCTCTTACCCCGGCCCTGGGGCTGGGCACATTTTAGGCCTGATTTCAGCTGAGGACAGGTGGCCTACAACAGTAGCAGTCTTAGGCGGCTTGCCCAGAGCCCCTAGCTTAGGTGTCACTGTGGTGGCTATGGCTGCGCTGGGGGCTGCCCAGGTCCCTGTTCTCATGACCGCCTTACCTCAAAGGAAGCACCTGCCCCCAACACACACAAACACACACACACACACTACTGTACATCTGACCCCACAGCTGCATGCTGGCCTCTACTATGATCTAGGGACCAGGCCCCACTGGGCTCAGGGCACAGTCATTAGGCTGCCTGGCGCAGGAATGTCAGTGGGTGGCTCAGTTGTAACCCAGGTGCGACAGGGTCTCGTCTACTCTGAGGTTTAAGCATAAGTCCTGCTTCTTCCCTGCATTCCCCTTGGGATAACTCTTGACCCAGTTCATGGGGAAATCCAGATTTGATCTCTGAACTCAGCCCAGGTGGTTGTAAGTAAACAATGAGGGTGGTCTCTATCATCAGCTCAGCCACCAATACCTTCCCAAGACCCCACAGAGACAGCCTTTTGGGCACTGGGGCTGCCAAGCGTCTCTTTCTTTGCTTAAACCAGGGATGAGGGACTGAGGCCCTAGAAGGGCTCTAGACACACCTGGCTTCAACACAATCCCTCTGCCACACCCCCAGGACACTTTAAGGGCACAACTCCATCCTTAAAACACAGCTAACCTCAATAGGTCAAATTCCCATCCCTAGAAGCCCAAGAGAAACCGGAGGCCAATCAGAGTAGACTCAGGACCCCAAGGGCCACACTTGCACCCTGCATTTCCTGCAGACAAAAGTAGAAGCTGGTGGTGCCTCTGATCCAGTGGGGTCTCCAGGTTGCTGAGGCTGAGTGTCCGCTCTGTAGACAGGATCCAGGCTGAGGTTCAGCTGTGCTGACTCTGGATTCACTTGCCCTGGGGACCTAGGCAGCATGCAGAAGGAGACCAGCCTGGTTCAAACTATTCCACCAGCCAGGACACCAAGGCCTGGATGGAGAGAATTGAGGGACACAACCTGGAAATGGTATGATCAGGTGAGCTCATCTCTGGGCAGGTGTAAGAACTCTGTTAACAAAGAAGGCTCCATTGCTGCCCACACCCACTGCAGCCTGGGCTTGTGGCTCTGCAAGAGGCTGTGACTTGCATTCAAGGTCACAGCATAGATGCAGACACCTGTCCCTGGAGTCCCAAGAGCACCCAGTCAGTAGCATGTGATCCTCACAAGGTGCTGAGGCACGCATGGCCCCACCTTGCAGATGTGTAGATGGATGTGCAGCTGGAGAGGCCCCTGGCCCAAGGTCTCAGGGCACACAGGATGAAAGAGTCAAATCTGAGCAGAGCTGTCTCACAAGTCACACCCAGGGGGCCAGCACAGGAGCTGGAATGCCAGGAATGCACGGCAGACCGAACCAAGGCCTGTGGTAGTGCGGGCAGCTCAGCCCAATCCAGCCAGACCTGGCCTCTCCCAGCAGTCACCTGCAACCTGTCCTGGGGGAAGAGATAGGGATGAGTGGAATGGTCCTTGCTCATGGGCCTGTCCCAGGGCTCTGACATCTTCAGCAGTGCCATCTCCAGTTCCTCCAGTGGGATTCCCCACAGTCTTTGTAAAGGACCTAGCATCTCACCAGACAGTCTACACACAAGAAAAATCACAGTGCACCAACATCTCAAGCACACACTAAAGAATGTGTATGCACTGAGCACACTGGTGGGCACTGAGTCAGAAGCGGTACAGTACAAGGACACTGCAGGCCCCAGCAGGAACTCTCAGGTGCCAGGCACAATGGGCGTCTGTCTATCCATGGTGGAAGAGCCAGAGTACAGGGCAGGGCCAGCCTTCAGCACAACCCCTCCAGTCTTCAGGTCACTTCAATCACTTGAAAAGCACCTGGAACCCAAAAGCTACAGAGTGAGCCACCAAAGATGCTCCTTACAACACAGCTCCACCAGCTCATGCCCAAGAGATGCAGCCATCACACCACAGTCACCCAAGGTGCAAGAGAGGGTCACGTGGGCTCAGAGGCCATGGAGGGAGGTGGCTCCAGGGTAACAGTAGGTTGGCTTGCTGCTTGATACAACCATTGTCCCCTGGCTGTTCTGGGGCAGGACAGTCTCTGGTCCCTGTGGATGGGCTCTCCAGTGGGTTATGGTACCCGATGACAATGGCATTCCAGATGCTCAGCATAGGCAGGTCAGGTCCACCAGCCCAAGCGCTCTAACCCCTTTTTTCGTCCGACAATTGCCCACATGACCAGGGGTTGGGTTAGACTCCAGTAAGCAACGAGAAAAACGTGACCACAAGATGTGTTTCACGTGCATATTTTTTTTTTCTTTCTGGTTCAAAAAATAATAATAGTAATAATAATAATAATAGTAGTCAGGCTTTCAGGTATATAAAACTGGTAACAGTAAAAACACAAACTTCACCTTTACCAAAAACAGCCAATCAAAACAAAACTAAAAACACCACAAGGAAACCACATATGCACATTTCTGTTAATACAAATAAAGCACAACCTCTTACCAAAAATAAAGAATTTAGGTTCTGTCCAGACACTCCGCAGGGCACACATGCCACACAGTCACCCTTTCGGGGGAGGACAGTGGGCAGCGCCATGGGGGGATACAGTCCACTTCATTAGGAAAACAAGTGAGCAAGGGAGGAACACATAAAGCTGGAAACATGTAGGAAATGATGCATAGGTAGGTATACCATGTTTATTTTAATACATCTCATTAGTTGCATCCTGCTAGGAAACACACATGTGGCACGGTCCTGACAGTTACAGCAGCCTGTGTGTTATCGGCGTAAATGTCATCCAAGAGATAATTAAAAAAAAATGCTAGGCAAAGAGTAAAAAGGAAAGCTTAATCACTTTATGGTGTAAAAAAAAAAAAATTAAAAAAACAAAGGAACAAAAAAAAAAAAAAAAAAAAAAACCACCCACTTAAGGCTCTGGGGAAGGCCCCGGATAGACCCAAGCGCGACAGCCAGGAGTTGTGGTTTCCGCATTGGCGCGGCTGCTCCTGTCACCCCGCGTCCCACGTGCCCTGCAGAGCCTGGCGCCCCACAAGCGTCCACAACTCCACGTCCTTGGCAAAGAGCACCTGTGACCACCGACAGAAATCCATCCCGTGAGCCGCCACGCGTCCACCCCGCGGGGCAGCCCTTTCGTCCACCGCGTAGATATATTTTGTGGGTCCAGTTTGTTTTTGTCATGTTTTGTGGTTTGTTTTCTCTCTCGCTGACAAGGAGGCTTCTGCTGTCTCTCGGAGTGCTACAATACGTGCTTTGATGTCACACTGAACAAATGCACACTGTCGCTTTGTTCTCCAGGGTGCTCTTGGACACAGTTTTCACGGAGGAGAACAAAGACCACACGCTGGCAATAAAGCACCGTACATAGTAGGTTCAGGAATGTAACACGCCATGTACATCCGTGTCCCAGGAGAGGGCTGCTGGGTTATCCTCACCTCACATCTGCAGGGAGAGCGAGAGACACAGGCTGAGAGCCAGGACCCCTGGCACACAATGCAGCACAGACAGGAAACACTGATAACGGAGGGGGGAGGGAGGGGATGGACTCGATCAGGAGCACAAGCTGTGCGAGACTCTGGATTTCAATTTGCCATGAAATTTTTTAAAAATCAAACTTGCCATGTTATTCAGAAAGAACAGGGACCGTTATCATGGCACCACACAGAACGTCTTGAAAGCAAGCCCCCTGCTTCCATTGTACAGGTAAGGAAACTGAGCCCCAGACAGGTTCTTCGGTCCTTCTCCCTACCTTCCTTTCCTTCTAGCCTAGCCCTGGATGTGACTTCTGGAGCTCTGGCAGCCATCGTGATCCATGAAACAGCTCAGAACAGATGCCACCAAGCACAGGCACTGTGACCAGGCAGACTAAACTGTTTTCATTTTTGTATTTTTCCTGATGCCAGGGACCAAACCCAGGAGAGTAGCCGGGCAAGTGCTGTAAGGCTGAGCCTCACATAGCCCTGCCCTGGGTTTCCAGCAGCTTTCCCCTACCCATTCCAGCATTGTGTTGGCCAGGGGCAGCAGGACTTTGTCAGCTGGTTCTTCAGATGCACGAAGTCCCCCACTACTACATCACACTCCCAGGGCACCTACGAGACACTTTCCTCTCAGGGAGTCCTTCCTGGGATATAAGTGCCTCTCTTACCACAGGACCTCAGGGGTCAGGGCTCAGATGCCCGTCTCTGAAGAGTCTACTCGAGTCTAGAACAACTATGTCTTGGATGCCATGGAGTCCCATGTGACAGGAGAAGGAGCAGGCCAGACAGGCCAGTGATGGGGAGGCTCCACCATGACTGCATCCCCTACTTCTGGGAAGTGACATTTCCTATATTTCCCAGGTCAGCAGAGAAAAAAAAACCACTGGGTGGGAATTATGGACCAACCATCTTTCTTCCCACCGTATTCTTTCAGACTAGAGCAGTGACTTCTGGAGCCTAAGCAGCCACCTGGGGTCACGTGGCCATTCTGAGACGGGATGCTAGACGAAAGAGGAGCCTCAGTGATACCTGCAACTGTAGCACCTGCTCCCGCCTCCCCATCTTTGGACAGAACTCGTCCATCAACTGTATCCCTCTGGCTGGTGTACAGGAGCTAACAGACCCATTCAATACTCCGTAGTCTTCGGCTGCACTCAGCTCAGTTTCCTTGTCTGTCAGTGAGGTTAAGCCGCTTGCCCCATGATCCGACTGGTAAACATCCGACCCAACCCCTCCCATCTATGTGTGATGCCTTGTGGCCCGATCAATGACAAAGGACAGAGAGGCAAGAGGCGATCCGAGCATAATGAGCGTGTACCATGGGCTTGTGTACGCAGGAGGGGACGGGAGCGGCACAGACCCACAGCCCAGCAGACCCGAAGCAGGCAGACCCAAGGCCAATCAGGGCCACGGCCGCACCGCTGGGCAGAAGCTGATCATTTGCCGGTGTGACCGTCGATTGCTCCCCCAGCCTGTGCGGTCCCAGCACTCCCAGCATGGTGGGGTGGCAGGGCCTACCTGGTTGGCCGCTTTAGGTGGGTTTTAACCTTTTTCTTTTCCGTTTTTTACCTGACTCCCTACGCCTTCCTGTTGGTGAAAGGCAGGGAGGGTGAGTAGCCTCAGGGAGCAGACTGTAGCAATAAATACCTGAGTGTTTATCTTGAGGGAAAACTTGGCCCGCCCAGGCTCGGAGACACTTCCGGGTCCTTCTGTCCTCAGGCAAGCCTGGGGCCACAAGCTCCTGCTGCTCTCCACCTGCAGCAAGTGCCCAGCATCCACCTGTCTGCTCCTCTGGCCACTTGGCAGGGCCTTCTGCACCCACCTCTCTCACCTGGCCCAGCCCCTCACTCCAGCTCACAACCTGCTCTTTTGCCAACTCTCCAGGTGGCAAGAACCCTGCCCTGTCCCCAGGTGATAGAACCCCACCCCTGTGTGCTCAGCTGTGTGCCCTTGCCCCGCTAAAAGGTTTGGACCCATTAAGCTGTTACCCTGAGGATCCCATACCAGGAGCCACCTAAAACTCCCAGACTCAGCTTCCAGGAACCCCCAGCAGTGGTGAGGAATAGGACACAGATCGCCACTCACCCGTCTCCTCTTCCCGATGGTCTGGATTCAGGCTGGAGGTCGCGCACGCACACTCCAGGTGTTCCTCTAACCTCACCTGGACCTCTTTCAACTTTGGCTTCTTCCTGACATACTCCACTTTGGCCACCTGCGGAGAGCAAAGCCACTGTGAACACCAGGAGGGGGGATTTGGGCACTACGCTGAGGCTGGGACTACAAGGCCCATGCCAGGGTGGGAGTGGAGTTAGAGCAGCCTAATCTTGACCTCTGACCTCCATGAGGGCAGGCATGCAAGTGAACTTAGCCTCATTTGTTTAGGACAAACTGAAAGGCTCACACGCCCCTGGTGGTCTGAGCATTCCCACAGTGCAGGTGATGAGAGACAGCAGTAGCTTCCAGAGCTGGGTGTACTAGGCAATGATCTTAGTTGTGCATTTTATCAGTAAAGAAGGCACACAGACTGTGCCAGGGATGTAATTTCCTCTGCTGTGCGTGGCTAGTGCCAGTCAACCCGCATGGTGCCCTCCCCACTCTACCCCCGACTACCCCTCTAACTACGGTCCAGGAGAAATGGCACAGATCCACAGCCACTTGGTGGCTCAGCCAGGCCTGGGGTTCTGTGGACTCAGACGGGCCTGGCCTTCCTCAGCAGCATGGATGAGGGACACCTGGCCATCACAAGGCCAGGTGAGGTTGATTCTGTACCAGGGCTGCTGCTTCTGGTACAGAGAGCTCAGAGAAACCCAGATCTGAGCTGAGAGCCTCCTCTTCAAATGAGGGGCCCATCTGAAGCACCAGACCCCATCACAGACCAAAGCCACCTATGCCCTCCCCAGAAGTACAGGACAGAACTCCCAGCCTGGTCAAGCTCCAGGTGCTTGAAAACAAAGGTTCATGCTAGAGACTGTCTCCAGTCCTGTGAGACTTTCTAGGTGTCCACAGGCCCAGGTGGGCCCTGGGACCAAACAGTCATGGGAACACAATCCCCACCCAATCCCACAGATGCATACATTAGGCACTCAATCCAGGTTCTCACAAGCACCAGCCCCAGAGGCTACCATGTGCTGGACACCTCACCTCCCCCATGAGTGGGTGAGATGCAGTCTGACCACCACCCTCCTCAGAGTCCAAAGGCCAGTTAGCACTCCGTCCTCCTACCCAGAACCCGCACCTCCAGGGACAGAAGAGACACCAAAGCACAACAAGCTTCTCCCCAGGACGTCCCAAGATCATGCATGGCGGTCTGTCCCTAGTGGATGCAGGAGCAGGTGTCCTCTCCCAGCCCCACACATTAGGTGTGTACACATTAGGTGCCCATCTGCATACATACAGGACAGGCCTCCTTCCCAGTCCCACAGAGCTGTGCACACAGTAGGCACCCATCTGTATACGTCCAGAAGAGGACCCCTTGCCAGGCCCATGCCTGGCATAGGAACCCATATGAGGGCTCCCTCCAGCCCCAAGCCATACATGCAATAGGGACCCACCTGTGTATATCCCAGAGCAGCCTCCCTCCCAGGTCCATGGAGCTGTGCACACAGTAGGCATCCATCTGCATATGCCCAAGAGTGGCCCTCAAGATCACCCCCTTTACCCTTTCCTGTGTGACAGGGACACTGAGGCCAAAAAAGGCATGGTACCCATCTAGCATCCCCAAACACCTAGAGGTAGAGTCCCCAACCACCACCAGTCCATGAGTGAGGGTGCCTACCCAGTGGCTGCTCTGTGGCAGTTGGGAGAGCAGAGGATGGTAATATTTTCCTTTCCCACCCACCTTCCACAGTCTGGACTTCAGGGGGAAGGTCAGTTCTGTACCCACCAGGTGGCTACTCCACAGGCAAGCCTCCATAGGGTGCTGGGACCAGGCCTGGTTGGACCCTGCTGCACACCTCCTTGGTGTTAATAGTTAACCCACGGTGCAAAGGGTGCCAGGTGCCCAGTGGGCGTGTGAGTGCTGTGGCTGCCTCAGGTGTGAACACAACTGCCAGGTATGAGCTCATAGGGCAGGGTGTGGGGCCAGGGTCAGAGGTCAGCAGAGGTTTCCCTACATCAGGAGGCAGGAGAGGGAGAGACAGCGGCCTGGCTGGTTAAAGGAGCAGTTAGAGGAGTGTAGGCCTTGCCCCAGGGTCACTGCCTGAAAGGGGCTGTTTTATCATCATTGGGAGGGACCCCACCCCACCCCTACCCCAACCCACAACCCACCCCTCTCCCAAGTCAATCGTCAGGAGGGAGGAGTCCATGGGGCTCTGACATAGAGACACAGACATCCTCACCTAGGGAACAAAGGAGGTTCCCATGCAGAGATTCACAACTGGGACAAGGTGGCTGCAGAGCCATTTGACAGGTGTCAATGCTGACACACGCCATCAGGCCGTCAGCTCCAGGCCCTGGATCCTGCATGGTCCATTCCCTGGTCCTAAGGTTAGCATAAAGGCCATCTTATCAGGGAGGGTCCAGTGACCCTCTCTTTAAAGGTTGGGATAAAACTCAAGTCCTAACAGAACAGTGGGGCCACACTGAACCTGGCCATGCCCAAGACCTTCTCTGGACCCCCAGGTTCCAGGAATTAGAACCAACACAGCCCCAGTACCTCCTTCCCTCTAAGGGAGTCCCAGCCATGAACCCTGCACAGCCACAGGGGAACAGCAGTGGGCTATGAACCCTGGGTCTAGGCTTGGATCAGGCACTTGTCTGGGTGGCATGGCCTCTGTGGTCAACTGTAGCTTCCCCTAGTTCCCCTGTAGAGCCTGTACCAGGCCCCAGATTGGCTGAGACCTGGACCTGGACCCTCAAGCAAGGAGCAGGCTTGTTCCTCTCCAGCAGACACTAGTGGGTGTGGTGGGCAGGGTGGCCCCTCAGTACTCCAGTTATGCTGCCCTCTTGATGGTCCCTGAGGCTGCCTGGCCTGGGCACCCAATCTCCAGACAGACCATGTTTATCAGAGAAAAACAAACAGCAATTTATGATTGCACCTGCTGCTGGGAATGCAAGGATTCCAGTCACTTGGCCACTTCTGTCTGGCCAGGAAATGGCTACATTTTTCCCCCAAAGAACATGTTATGAATATTAAATTCTCAAAAATCTCTTCCATGAAAGCAGAGTTTGAAAAAACAGAGACTATAAGATCTAGAGTCCCCTGCTTGCATTCCCAGGCCCTGGGAGGTCCCTGAAGTCCCTCCTCATGTCACACCCTCACCCACTGCTGCCCTGGCCCCCTACCCACATGCTTCCAATAAATTTACCCCAGAACCTCAGCCAGCCACACTGTACCCCCTGCATGAGACATGCCCAGCAGTTCCCCAAGCTGCTGCAGAGAATCCCCACGAGGGTTGTCCTGACCACTCCAGAGCTTTAGGACCAGATCATCAGTGAAAAAAGCCACCACTGACTGAACAGAGCTCTTCAACCATCAGAGCCAGCTGGGAAGACACGGTTACAGCTTCTGCACAGATAAGGACACGGAAAGCACAAGTGCCCAGTGCTTCATAGCTTTATATCCCTGTTCCCTCTCTCTGCCTTCAAGGGGCTGGACTTAGAAGGAACAGAGCCCTGAACCCAAGGCCCTGTGACCCCTTCCCAGAGACTCTGAGGCTGCTGTTCAACTCTGGACCTTCTGAGGTCAGGGTCCCTCCCCACCTGGAGAGTGCTAGAGCCCTGTGCCCCAGGAGGATGACTGGAGCTGGACCTCAAACAGCCTCAGAAGGCTGAGGAGCCCATCTGGCCTGTATCCTTGGTATCCCATTCAGGCCAGAATGAAGTGGCTCCAAGTCCCCCAAAGGTCCAGGGCACCCTTCTCATGGTGCTGACACTCCATCCCTCACCACAGAGAGGGATGTGAGAACCCCACACCCCAAACTTTGGGGTTCCAGCTAGGGACTCTCCCAGAGAACAAACCCTTGACTCCATCCAGAGAGGTCAGGAGGGAGGCCTGGCCTGGATGTCCACCAACTGCACACCTCTGGAAATCTGAGGTCCAGGCTCACAGCCATAGTCCCCAGCTTGAGTGCTGTGTGTGGGCTCTGGGGAGACTTTGGTGAACCCCATGTCTATGAGGCACGTTGGGTCCTGACTCTCAAAGCTCCCTCCAAATGACACCAGCCTAAGGCTTCCCTGCACAGCAATGGCTCAGGCAGAACCACATTAGACATGGCTCAGAGCTGGTCCATTCCAACCTTACAGTGGTCCCACCTAGTACAGAGCCAAATGAGGCCTAAGCAGTCAGGGGAACTCAGCTTCATCCCAGCCAGACACCCTAGCAGCTCCAGGGGCCAGATGTCAGGTGTGTCCAGCAGAGCACATACAGCAGCCAGCTGTGGGGTCCTGCCACCTCTGCCATGGCTGGAGGTCTGGGGAGGCCCCAGGAAGCTGGACAGAGGTATTAGGTGCAGGATGAGGCCTCTCTTTAGATGCCCTTAGAAACAAAAGAAAAACCCATCCCAGGCTCCACAGTGACCCCAGTGCTGACCTGGGATAGTGGCTAGAACCCCAGCATATCTACCTGGAGCCACTGGCAACACCAAATGACTCCAACTGGGGTACCGGCCACCTGGTCCTCCTCCTGCATAGCTTCATCCCAGGTGACCCACATCACCCACACTAGCTCCAGTTAAGTCTGGACACCTGGGCTAATCTCCCTTATCCAGGCCCACATCTGCCTCAAACCCAAATGGGCCTCCTATCCCTGCTGACCTCTGTCCCTTTGCCAGAGACCCCAGTGTCTGGTGCTAAATGTGTCCTTGAGACCCTGAACAGATAGGCAGGAGACAGGCCTTCCGAGGAGGGAGGCTAGGGAAGATCCAGCTCTGGACACAGGACTTGGTGGCCAGGGAGGCTGACAAGAACCCCATTGGGCAGACAAGGCCTGTGAGGTAAAGGCATGACCCACTTTGACGATCTTTGGGAAGGAGGCTCCACTGCCCAGCTGGAAGCAGACATTCCCCATTCCTGCCCCAGAGAAAGCAAGAGTGGGGATAGCAGGCACCCAGAGGCCCGAGGCCATGGATTAAGAACTTTCAAGTAACTTCTTTCATACCAGCACCTCACCCATCTAAAGACAGGCCCGCACTCACACACTGAACAGGTTAGCTAGGTCTAATCGACCGTGTACCCCAGAGGACAAGACAACTAGGATTGCAAGCTCTCAGGCTAAGAGACCCCCAACCAGCCCCTAATCCTAGCCCTAACCCCCAACAAACCATAGTGAGAATCCTAGGACCCAGGCAAAGACAGAGGCTGGGCCAGGCTCACAGGACACTGGGGACAATGGCACTACATCCTTGGTCACCATTAACCCCACCACATGGCTCTGCAGACAGGAGGTCCACGTGAGCCTCCAGGACCCAGAATGCCTCGGCCTCTTTTAAGAGCTCCACAAAGACCAAGCCCTAAAGATCAAGACATGTCTCTACAACACTGACAAACAGTTGGCTGATAGGTCCTTACAAGAAAGAGCTCCCCAGCATCTCCCCCAGAGCCCAGGCCTCAGGAGGGTAGGAGGATCTCATATAGTTTTTCTTAGAGTCCAGGAGTAGGTGGGCTCTAGTATCATCCCCAGAATTGAAATTCTCAACTTAATTCTGGGGACTCCTTGACCCAGGAGAGGTACTTCCTATCTATGAGAAGTAGGCTCTGCCCAAAACTCCACTCCACATCCTCTAGGATGGGGACCACATTGCCCGAACTCCATTGCTTAGTCAGTCATTCTGTGCCCCCTGAGGGTCATGCAGGACAAGAACAGCACCCTAACCAACCAGAACTAGATACTCAGGAGCAGAGCTCGGAACATCCAGCCTCAGGATGGGAACCTGAGGCTCACCCTAGAGGGCCTTACAGTAGAGATGCCTAGAAATGCCCAGACACTTGCCCTCCACTTGTGTTCTTAGAGACTCATACCCAAGGATCTGAGCCATGTGCAGGAACCCCTTATCTGACCAAGGCACATGGGGCCAGAGGAAAGTAGACCCAGCCTGAAAGTCATAACTGGGCCAGAAATTACAGACCTCAATTTGGCAGCCCAGAGGGAACTCAAGCAGCTGGACTGCCCCCTAGGACTCAAGGAACAGGACACCTCTGCCATATCAACTCTGAAGGCCACTGTGGCCAGCTGAGTGAAAGCTCACCTTGACACTCCGGTGGTGGACCCTCGAGGGCTGGCACTTGACACTACTGGTGTTGCAGCAGCCAGTGCAGCGCTTCACCTCCACACACGGCGGCCAGATCAGGAAGTTGGCAGACGTAGGGTCCACCTGGCTCCGAGGTATCTCGTAAATGACTGTCCTGGTCTTGCAGACCGCAGGAATGGCTTCCTCTGCAAAGTAAGTTGACGGTGAGTGCAGAGAATGCTTCACACTCACCCATGTGACCAGGCTTAAAACCAACGCCCCCCGCCACACACACATATACAGACACTTAGGGTCTGAGCAAGGTTCCCAGCAGAGAGACAGCCTGGAGACCCAAAGATCCACAGGTGGCCCATGGGAGTGCAAAGGGTGGGAAGCCAAGGAACAGTCAAGAGTCTGAATCCTCAACCCACCCAGGGACCTGCTCACAAGACACTAAACGGCCACCAGCTGTGCACCAAGGAGAGGCCCACAGGCCCAGCCTCCGAGCTGCACCCAGCGGGGAGCCTGCTAGAGCTCCACATTAGGACTGGAACTTAGGTTCAGCCACATTTTCCAGCAAGGCCTCCTTGCAAACAGGCCCCAACAAGATTGGGCACTTAAGGAATTTATGACAGCTCTTCTCCCCTGGAAACTCTTGGCCCAGACTACAACTCAATGAGGAGCAGGCCAGGCGGGAGGCACATCGTGGAGGCAGAGGGCGCCTCAAGAGAGGGCAAGAGGCCAAAGCCAAAGAAGCAGGCTTAGCTTTGTTTGAAGAGAAATGTGGGGTGGCTTGCTGGAAGCCACTATGGGGAGCCTGGCCCACCACCTACAGCCTTGCCCACCAAATCCCCCTGGGCCCAGCACCCACCAATGCTCCTCTTCCTCCGAATGGGTACAGGTCGTTTCTCGGGAGCATGCTTAGTGGCATGGGGCCCATGGGCTCTCAGGCTGGTCTCCAAGGCATCCTCGGTTCCTACAGGTAGAAAGAGAACATGTGACCAACTGTCTATACCTGTGCGGTACCCCAGGCCTGACCTGCATTGCCCTGAGAAATGGCTCCCCTGGCCTCCCCAAGGTCCTTTCTGCCCAGCAGAGCCTTGAACCCTTGAAGCTCAGTCCACCAGGCCCTCAAAAGACAGTCTCCACCCCTGACATCCATTTCTACATTCCCACAGGGGCTCTTCAGATACGTAGAGGAGAAAACACTAAGCCAAAAATATCTCATCAACACAGAAGTCCCCAGAATCAAGCAATTTCAACCAGGCCTACCGGGGAAGGGGCTCTGGGTGGCCTCCTCTGAGGAAGCTCAGTGAGGCCAGAACCAGGTCAGGGAGGACCCAACCCCACCAACCTCAATCCCAGAGAGCCCACCCCCTCCATAAACTAGGCTTCCATGAAGCATCCTAACCTCTGAGGGGCATTGGAAGCAACTCCCAACTGGGCTATGAGCCAGGCCGGACCAGTTCCTGAAATAAGCCTGCTCTGAGGGCCAGAGGCCATGAGAAAATGCAAGAGGTGTGGCTGCTCACAGAGTGTAAAGGGAGGAGTGGCCACCAGCCTGAGCAGCGGTCCAGGGTGTCTGCAGAGAAGGGGGCAGCAACAGGAAGGAAAGCAGGCAGCTTTCTGTACCTGCAACCATGTTCTGCAGCAAGGGCCACCACTCGGTAGGAAAGGAGTCACAATGACCCAGAGCAACCACCCCACAGGATATCACAGCCCCATACAGAGGAAGGGGGCTATAACACACAGCCCCTATCCTGACCTCTCTGATTTCTGGGTGGAGATGGACACATGGCATGCCACCTGTTATGTGAATCCAAAAGCTCATCATAGCCTGACCTGGCCTCCTTGCCCATCCTCTGTGCTTCCTCCATCCTGTTTCCAGGGGAAATAATCCAGAGACATGTGCCCAACAGACAGGACTCATACATTCACTGGGTTCTCATCCTGCGGCTTCCCTTCCTTCTCCAGAAGCATGAATGACACAACAGTCACCAGCCCAGATCTAGGACCCAACCCAGCACCGGACATACAACCCAAGGTCCTTTCTACCCTGCATCCCCACACACCAAGAGTCTGCAAACCAAATGAAGAAGTCTAGGCCTCCTATACTCCAGAGATGCCTTAAACCAGCACATTTGGAATGAAAACAAAAACTCAAATAAAGTATGAATGGCAGGGCTGGGGATTTATAGCTCACTGGCATAAGCGCCTGCCTTGCAAGTATAGTATTGAGTTCGATCCCCGGTACCAAAAAAAAGTATGAATGGCAAAGACTAAGTCCGAGCAGAACTCGCCTTTTCACTTAAATGATTCAATGTTCCAATACCACTGATTTTTTTTTTTTGAGACTCAAATAAGATCAGAAAAGAACTACTCATGCAGTAAGAATGTCCCATCAACCATTACAAGGAGTATTTTTTTTTTCCCTCACAAAACAGTGACATTGTGAGTCACGCCCTGGTGGTGGCCATCTTGCCACCACCAAATCAAAGAGCCAGGGTCCAGTTCAAGGTAAAACTTAGCACAGGCATCAGTATGGTCTTTGCTACAGCTGTGCTTGGGCCAGCTGCTTCTGGGCATCAGGCATTACCCGCCATCCATCGTTTCTGAGGAAAGGAGGCTCAGAAAAATGAACAAGCCAAGGGCAGATGGCTGGGGATGGGACCAGCCGGCCCAGTGAAGTGGACCCCCCACCTTAAGAGGTCAGGCTTCTTGGCTCAGCTCAATGCCCAGAGGGGACACAGCCCTGACAGCTCATCAGCGCTGCTGATAGCCAACTATAACTTCTTTAGACAAGACAGAGTGGGAGTGGCTCCTATTCAAACAAGCCCACTCTTGTGCCCATCAAGTTGGGTGGTCACAGACCAAAAGCCAATCCACGCTCCAAGGAGCTGTTCGGATTTGTGCTGGGTGAAAAGAACCCACCTAAGCAGGAACTTAGAGATCAGGACTGATCCCTGGTGGGGCAGCAGGAAGCAGTCTCCAAATTCTCTTAAGACAATTAATCAGGCAGTTTCCCTTTTGTCTTTATGCACAGACATCATGCAAGACAAGGGAAACTCCTCCAGCCCTGTCCTGGTCGGCTGTGTGAGTGGCCGGGATGTTTATGTATCAGTTACTCAATGACCCAGGGCGCCTGGCCAGCCAGCTCTGGAGAACAAAGCTCCAGCCGCCACACTACACAGGACAACAGGCCCCAACTCTACAGCTGGCTGATGGTCACCCCAAGACTCACACTGGCCTCTGAGCCCAAATAGCCTGGGAAAGCCACCCAGCATCCCTCTCCTCTCCAGTGCACATCCCAGTTGCTCCAGGCTCACCACATTCCCAGCACTTAAAGGAATGCACGCCTCCGGAGGAGGGGCAGAGTTAAGAGGTTTCCATCTACACAGTGGGGATGGGTGTGCCAGGTACAACGCCCCACCCACTCAAGGGAGGAGTTAGGCGAGGCCTGGGACACCTCAAAGCCTCCTCCTGGCACCCTGCAACCTTCCCTGTCCCCAGAGTCCTCCTGGAGACTGCAGCAGGGTTAGTCACAGTGGATTATCCCAGCACCCTGCCTCTTCTCCATCGGTCCCTCCCCTACATTGTCATGGGCGCCTACCAGAGGGCAGTGCTCCCAACAGGATAAAGGATGCCTCTGACTAGACCTAGAAAGGTCAGGGCTGGGATGGCAACTTTGTCTGAGTTTGGGCCACCACAAGCCACCTACAACCTAATCCAGCAAGCAGTCTGAAGCATTGGGCTCCACATTTCAGGTAGGAACCAGAATGCAGGGGCCAGCCCTGTCCTCAGGTCAGATAGGACCCTCCTGTTTTTAGGGTACTACATCAGGTGGAAGGAGACTCACTTTAGAATTTCAAATTGAGGCACAGGGAGAGGAAGGAGAGTTGGTCTCTGTTTCCAGGGCTCTGGGCAAATCTCATCTGGACCCCAAAACACCTGACACATGTACAGGACTGGAATTTCCACCCTGCCACACACTGGGCAGGGGAGGAGTCAGACGCAAGGATGATGCCCAAGCTACCCACACACCCACCCCCACACAGAGAGGCAACCTGACACTTGCTAGGAGGACAGGAGGTGTACCCCTCCTAGGCCCCAACCCAGAAGCCCCCAGGTCAGGAATGCAGTCAGCAAACCCTATAGAACAGCAAAGCTAAAATGTTAATGGATAGGGGTGGAGAGGAGGAGCTGCAGAGACCAGAATAAGAATGGTCCTGGCAGAAAGTGAATGGCCCATTTCCCGGTGGCACCAACACCCACAGGAGGGAGGCCCAATCCTCCAAGGCCTCAACAGCCAAGACTCTCTGGGAGGCAGCTGCCCCAAATCTCCAAATCCATCAGAGACCAGCAAAAACCAGAGTGTCTTCCCCAGCTACCCAAGCCAAATCCTTTGCCCCAGGCTTGCACATCAAGGGACAAGATCAAAATTCCCCCTGGCCCAGCTCTGATCTACAAGTGAAACCCTACCCTACTCCAGATAAGGATCAGGCAAAGGATTTCCTGGGTCAAGGAACTGCAGAACCCACAGCCTTGTTAGAAAACGGTTTTGGCATGCAATGAAAACAGCGCAGGCCTCTCCACCACCATAATTAGGTACAAATTTCCAAATGACTAGACCATGTGATTTTACTTAATTCCCCCACCACCCCCCTTTCCCAAGTAGTTTGCAGGGAGACAGAAATCTTCATTTCACTTAAAATTCTTCACTTCAGCTGTCTTTCCTTACTCTGACAAGTCCATCTCCAATCTCTTTTTTCAAGCCAGTAAGAAATTTCCCTGCAGGCGTTATCTCCCTGGTCAGCGCTGAGGATGGAGTTCCCCAGGCCAAGTGTTAATTTGCAAAAGGGCGCCATGAAGACGTGGAGATCTCCTTCTGCCCTGAGGGAGTACAGACCCCTAGCACCACCACAAAAACCCCTTTAACCCTTGCTACCCAGATCTAGCCCAACCCTGCTTCAAAGCTCAGCATTTACAAATAAACTGTTTTCTAAAGTGGCTCAGATCCAGGCCCCGAGGGTGAGCCCCAAAAATAGCCCCCAGAAATGTGTCCAAGGCACGCCTTTTTATTGGGTCGTGAAAAAAAAAAAAAAGCCTCCCGCAGCTACAGAGGCCCAGCCCCAAAAGGAGCACCGCACCAGCCGACTCCCCTGACAAAGGGGCCGGTCCGGCCAGCTCCGCGCGCCCTCGGGGCCTCACCAGGAGAACCGCCCAGCGCACAAGCTAGGGCTGTGCGCCCACCCGCGCTCCTCAGGCGCACGCCGAGCCCTGTCCCGGGCGCCCTCTATGCTGCTGAACTTTCTGTGACACACAGTGTTTCCCTCAAACGCAGAAACATTCCCGGAGCAAGCGAAGAGCCTTCAGCAGCCACTGAAGAGAAAGTGGCGACTGGAAGAGAAACGCCTGACTCATGCGCCTGGGCGTTTATGGCCGGGGAGTGGATTCTGACCTTTCGGTGCGCTCCTGCGCGGCGCCCGGCCCGCCGCGCGCTGGGGGGCGGCTCGGCCACACTCTCTCCCTGCCCGCGCCCTCCCCGCGCCAAGGGCTGGGGCGCGATTTACCTACGGAGTCTATCTCCAGGAGTCGCTGGAGGTCCCGGATGCTGTGGATCTGACTGCGAGCCAGCCGCTCGATCAGCTCGCGGGGGATCTCAGCTTCCTGCAAGCAGACCACACAGTCAGCGCCCGGGGTGGTGAGACCCCAAGTTGCTGCCCCAATCCTTGTCCACCTTCTGCAAAAGGATACCCACCATGCTTTTACGCATCGTAACAAAATCCTCCCTCCTCCCACCCCGCCACAAGCCAGCAAGCCTTGCCCTGCGGGTGTCAGTTACGGGGGTCTAGGGGCAGCGAGGGGCTCCGGAGTTTCTGATTTAACAGTGAGACAGACATCTAGAAAAAGCGAATCGAAATGCGTCACGGGTCGACAACGAAAGTCGCGGCAGCCCCAACACTTTAATCTAGCCAGGGTCTTAAATTTCACGCCCCAGAATCCCGGCGGAGCCCGCAGAGGAGAGGGTCTCCCCTCGCCACACAGGCACGCGCGCGCCCCACCCCGGCCGCGGCCTTAGCGCGGACTAGGACACCCAAATCCAGCCGGCGGCTGGGGGAGGCTGCAGGGCAAGCTAGGGTTAAATATCCACCTCCCGGCTCTCCCGTGCCTGCCCAGCCCATTCCCACCACTCGGCCTCCACCCTCCCCTCCACGTTTTTAGAGGGAGTGGGGGTTTGGGGAGGGGGGCTCAAGCACTAAGTTCCCACGACAGGGGCTGTGGAAAGTCATTCATCACAGCTAAGCTCCCGGGGACCTGGGGTGGGGGGTGGGGACGCCGGCGGTGGTGGGAGGGCGCGGGCGCAGGCCCGGCCCCAGCTGCCTTGCTCAGCCACCTGTAAGCAGGCCCGGGGCAGGCGGGACTGAGGCGGCCCGGCGCCCAGCCGGGATCGAAGACCAGGAATTCGGGCTGCGGCGCGGCAGTGCCCACCCTGGGCTTCCGCCGCAGCCCCGCTGCCCGCCCAAGGCTCTGCAGGCTCACTCACACCCCCTTCACCGCCGCGCCCCGGCTGCCCCTCCCCGGGGAGGTGCCCGCGCCCCGCGAAGTTTTCTCCCCACTCGTCTGTCTCGCCGCTCCCCCGTCCCTCCGAGGCAGAGCGACGCAACACGCTGGAAACTCACCAGACACACTTGGGCATGGCAGAAAATAGAACCCAGTTGGGAAAATTTAAAAACAGACCACCTCCATCAGAAATCAAACGGCCCTGCAGAACCTGGGTGCCCTGGCCCGCAGGCGGCCGCGGGGGACGTGCGCCCTGGGAGCCGGGAAGGGGCTGGGGCGCGGGGGTGGCACCCACCTCGGCCAGGGCATGGGCGAGGTATCCGCAGGCGAGGAGCAGCAAGCAAGTCCAGGTCCTCATCGCGTCCCGAGGCGCTGGCGGCTCGGCGGGGAGGCGAGGCCGCGGGGCGGGCGCTCCAGCCGGGCTCCTGTGGCGGCGAGATTCAGTACCATCCCTCAGGGAGCGCGGCCCGGAGGAGGGCGGCGCGGAGAGGGAGCCGGCGGAGCGCGCCCGGCGCGAGCTGCGAGTGCGGCGCCCGCGAAGAGGAGGAGGCTGGGGAGTGCGCGCCCGCCGCGCCGGGAGCCTCCTGGGCCGCCGGGTAGGGGGTGGGGACGGAAGGGGCGGAGGGCGGGGGCTGGGCTTCTTCCTTGGTGCGTTCCCGTCCTGGCCGCCGCCGCGCTGGATCCCCGGCGCTGGCTTTAGGAGCGACCCGGCCGGTAATTCCGCATATTTGCGGGCATCAGCCCCAGGAGGGACCCCGGAGCGAGGCCGGAGCCGCGGCCGCACCGCCGATCACCTGTCTGGACGCCAGGCTGGGCCCTGGCGCCGGCTCGCGCGCTCCCTGCGGGCCGCGGGCTGCCCCGCGCGCCCACTTCGGGCCTGCGTGCGCCTCCGGCCTCCTCTAGCCGCCAACGCCGCTGCCCGGCCGGGCACAGCACGGCCCAGCTCGGCGCGGCCGGCGGCCTGCGTGCGCCCCTCCGCGGCGCGCCCTCGGCTACGCGCGGTGCTCCGCCCTCCACCAGCCAGGGCCGGGCAGAGCCCGGGGCCTCTCTGCACCGCCCGAGCGGGGGCGCGGGCCTGAGGGCGGGCGCAGGGCCGAGCCGGCGCCGCCGCCGCGGGGAGAGGAGCAGGAGGAGGAGGTGGCAGCTCTGGCAGGCCCTACTCGATGGAGTTGTGCGGCTCCGCAGGACGCGCGTGTGGAACCCGCGGGCCGCGGGGAGGGGGTTATAGCGCCGCCGTCGCCGCGCCCCTCCCCCGCCCCCGCCCCCGCCTCCCTCGGATTCCGGGCCCGGGACCCGCACCTCGGAAGGCTGAGGGGGTCGTGCGGGCAGGGACGGGTGCGGCTACGGCCGCCGCTGCAGTGACCACACACGCGCTCACACGGGCAGCGAGATCCATCAGAGACCCGCGCCCAGCTCCGAGCCTTGGCGCCGGGTCTCTCTGCGCGCCCCTCCCTCGGGCTTGCCCACCCTCCAGTGCCAGCTGCAATTCTGCGGCACCGGGCGGGGAGGGGAGGAGGCCGCCGCAGAAGCGCTGCTGCCGGCGGCTTGCCTCTCCCGGGCCTCGGCAGCAGCAGAGGGCAGCGCCCAAGGCCGCTGCGCCAAAAAGGGCATAAGAGCCGGCCTGGCCCCCGCCCGGCGCTGCGCTGGGGCGCGTTCCACCGCTAGGTCCCAGGGCCCCTGTCTTCCCCTCTCCATAAAAGTCGGGATGGGGGGGGATGAGCCTCTGTGGATAGGTGGGGCGGTTTTAAAGGCGCGTCTGGGGCACTCACCTGGCGGCTGCCACGCGCCCCCGCCCAAGATCCGAAGCCTGGGGCACCTGCTTGAGGAACCTCCACCCACATTTCGAGGTGGGAAGGAACCCAGATCGGATAGGGGGGCTGCGGCCCGCTTCATCCCCACCCTGAGACCCTGCGCCAAGTACCCACTCCCTCGCGAGAAGCCAGGCCGCATCCTGAGCCGGGAACTGGGGCTGGACGGAACGAAGAGAAAAGAGGCTACTGAGGAACCCCTGGGTTCTGCGTCGGAATCCGCGGGGCGCACAGAGCGCCACCTCCGGCCAAGGCGCAGCACGGAGCGCCTTGTGGGGAACTAGGCGCAGACCTAGGTCCGAGCCGGGCTGGGCGGTTTCCTTTGCCACCTCAAAAAAGGGCGCGCAGGTCGGGATGGATTACACCCGGCTAGACAGGTGGGATTGCAACCCGACGGCTAGCGCAGGCGCTCTCTTTCGAAGGGACATGCTGTCGGTGTGTTTGCTGGGGTTGTCTTGTCGACTCCAAAGCTAGACTTCTAGGCCTGTGGAGACTAGGAGACACCTGATGGGTGGGGAACCGAGGATTCCGCCCATCCTGGCATCACCTCCAACCTGTGGTTTAACACCGCCTCGGCCGTCCACCCTCCGGATAAAGGTATAGCCCTGCTAGGGCCTTTCATCCCTAGTTCGGTGGACTCCGGCATTTCAAAGGCAGAGTCGGCAGGGCGCTCCGGGGGCGCTCGCTAGCCCTCAAAGACCTAGGGGCGGGTCCTCCCCTACTGCTGCCGGAGGTCCCGCGTTTACGCGCAGTTCTACAAGCCTCCGCATGCCCGCAGTCCCCCACTCCCCCACCGCGACCCCTCGGATGGTCCGGATGGAGGACCAAGGAAACTTGGAAAGGTGAAGAAGCACCTGAAACCCCGGCCATCTGCCCTGGTAGAGCCTCCTGCTGCTCTGGAGGGGCTTTCTGGAAGGCAATCCCGGGTCGAGCCCTCACCTTCTTATCCCGGGAGTTGTGCGCGTCGTGACCTGCACGGCCTTGAGTTCCTCGCTAGCAGAGGGGACGCGAGGAGACCTCCTTGGGGTTCAAGGACCCCGAGTGACAGCGGGCGTGGGAATCCGGGAGGAAGGTCGCGTTGCATTGCGGACAGGATACCGAGTCCTCCCGGCCCCAACCCCCGCATGGAGCTGCGGGTTCCTGGGACCCCGCGTGGACTTTGCTTTGCTCTGCCCACCTTACCCGCCCGGCGCTGTAGGGGCGCCCAGCTGGAGTTGAAGGCGGGCAAGGAAGATCCGAGGACGCGGAAAGGGGCACCCTAGGCGGGAGCCTGGGCGCATCACCCCGGGACGCGGGAGCTGCGGGGCGCGCGGCGCAGGCATCTCTTGAATCGCCAGCAGCTATTAAAAATAAAACCGCGACCCGTCGCCATGGCGACAACAGCAGCTACGGCGCGAGGGTGGTGAGAACTTGGGCAGCCGCGCGACAGACGGGGGTGGGACGGGCCTCGGGCTTAGGCGCTGTCGAGCCCCTGTGCGCCCTGCTTGGGATAGGGAATCCGAACCCCCCCCCCAAAAAAAAGCGTCCATCCTCCAAACCTAGGAAAAAGTGAACCCCTAGACACCGTTTTCTGGGAACTGGAAATAGAGATTCGGTAGGACCGCCTGCTCCAAGAGGCCAGAGGCCTTGATGGGGACCACGCCGCGTGGGCCTCCCCCCCCCCCCCACCCCGTCACCTTTTCCTCCAATCAAACTCCTGGCTCTCCATTTCAGCCGGTTAGGGAGACACTGTGTGAGGAGTGTGTTAAGGATTGGGGCCGCGAGTGGAGAGGTGCGAGCTGAGCCAGACGGCCTGGCGGAGTCGCGCGTGCGGGGGCTGCAGCACCTGTCCAGCCCAACCCGTCGTGATCCCAGCGGGTGGAAGGGATCACATGCTTCCTTCTGGCTGGGAGTCGAGTTTCACTTCCAGCCGCTATTAGGCGGTTCACACGGTTCACTGCAAACATTTGATAATGAGGCTAAATATACTTTGAGTCGGAGGAGGCGTGGGCGCCGCTGCCCGAGCGCGTGGGCGCGGCACCCCAGGCTCCGCGGGGCATCCCCGCCCATGCCCTAGCTGTGCGGCGCGGACTCCAAGGCCGACTGGAGCGGCTTGGTGTGGGAGAAATCGCGGCCATGTGCTGCCAGCGGAAAAAGTTCAGCCCTACCAACAGGCGCGCGTCCGGAGGACTGTGGGCGCCGGAGGTCAGCCCGAGGGCCCCGGGCGGAAAGAGCGGGCTCAGTGAGGAACTCGGGGCTTCGGGTACTGGTAGGAGAGAAAGTACACCTGGCAGCAAAGAGACCGGTCGCCCCGGAGCCCACACTTCCGGCCGACCTCGGGCTCCATGCACGCCCAGACCTGCCCAGGGGCCCATAATTAAGGTATCAGGTGCACCAAGTGGGCTGAGAGGCCCCGGCATCTACGGTGCCTCAGTGGGGTGGGTCTGTATCTTGCATGTTTCCTCCAGACACTACCCCCCAGAGAAGGAGCAGCCTTTCCTCCAGAACCCAGTGCCCTGTTCCTGTGTAGCCCTCACCTTAAAACCAACCCCAGCCTATCCTCACTCTGCATGTTCAGGGCTCCTTCCATGACTTGACACTAGTAGGTGCTCAATTTTGGGGGTTATTGTTATTTTAGTAATAGTGACTGATGCTTGCTGAGCACCTGGGTTGTGCCAGGCTGATGCCATGCTCTTTCTATGCACAATTTCAATTCACATTTATTTAGCAAACCTAAAACATACTGAGAGCCCCTCTGGAGGAAACAGAACCATTTGCAGGCTTGTAGGACTCCCAACCCAGGATCTTCCATGGTATGACATGGTATCTGCATTGTGCCTAGGCCTTATGGCCAGGACTCTGAAGGCAGATGTCCTGGAGCAGTGGGGCTGACCCACCAGAACCCATCTCAAGGTAGGGTTTGGGCAGGGGAGGGATATCCAAGTTTTTCTTGACCTTGGCCTCATTGCTATGATTTGTTCCTAGCCTGCCTTAAACTCAGTTTCCTTGTCTGGAAAATGTGGAACTAACAGCTGTCACCCTGCACAGAGGTATCCACCACAGGCCAGCTCCTCTGTCCCAGGAGAAGCCCTGGCACATACCTAGGGGACCCTTGCCAGTGACACTGGGCTGCTGTTTGGGTGAGGCCAGCTGGATGCTGAATCCAGGCTCAGGCTCCAGTGCCAGAGCAGATTTCAAGACAATTTGTAGTGACGAAATACCATCCCTTTATCTCTGGGCAAGGCTTTCTTAGTTCTGCGCAATTAATCCAGAAGCAGCTCAACCATGTGGGCCAGCTTCTTGAAGATCAAACGTGCCTGGTGCAGGCGTTAATTAAGTCATTATCTCAGGCCCCGAGGCTAAGGATCAGGCCTTTCCAGTTCAGGCTCCCCAGAAGGGGAGATAAGCTGCCAGCAGGGTGGGAAGGCATTCTCTAGGTTGTTTTTCACTCCCTGTTAAGTATTTTTATTTTCCCATTTGAATACACAAACAGAAGTCTAAAACAGCACACAAGCATGTAATCATCTTGTGAATATTTTTTGAATGAAAAGGTCATGTTAAGGGACACTTGGTGGCTTCACCAATAGGTTGAAGAGCCTAGGTCCTCTCCAGGACTGCAGTACACAGTCAGGTGTGTCATCAGGCATTTCAATAGCCAGTCAGAATACAGACCTCAGCTTAGTGTAAAAGTAGAAAATACAATTTCTCATTAATAATTTTTATGCTAATTACTGGTTGAAATGATGACATTTTGGATATATTAAGTTAAATAAACTATGGTTACAATTCATTTCATTTGTTACTACTTTGTACATTTATTTATTTATTTTGGTGGTATTGAAAATTGAATCCAGAGAGGGCTGAGCTACATCCCCATGCTTTTTTAAATTTTTGAGATGGTCTCCCTAAGCTGCCCAGGCTGACCTGAAACTTGTGATCCTTTAGCCTCAGCCTCCCAAATAATTGGGATTACAGGTATAAACCACCACCCAGACTCTAAAACATTTAAAATGACACGTAGTTCAAATGATATTTGGGGATTTAGCTCAGCGGCGTAAGTGCCTGCCTTGCAAGCGCACAGTCCCGAGTTCGATCCTTAGTACCGATTTAAAAAAAAAAAAAAACAGACTTGAAAGCTCACATGATATTTCTATAGGACAGAGCTAGTCTTAAGACATATATGCATGGCTGTACAGTAAAGCCAACCGAACTGCAGCACCACAGATACGGCAAACTCCAGGAACCTCAAGTGGGGATTAGTACATAGGCCACCTGCCCGGCCTACGTGGCCCTGGCCTCCCCATCCTCAGCCCTGTGTGATCGCAGCAAGCTTCTTGGCCTCTTAGAAACTCAGCTTCCTCCTCTGAGGTGACAGGGACATTCATGCAGCAGATATGTGCACTGGACTAAGTATGGGTCACAACATAGCGACAGACCTTCATGGAGCTCAGAGTCTCCAGGAAACAATGAAACGAATGACAAACGTGTGCCATTCAAGTGGCTGGGAAGGTTAGGGGTGGAGAAGGAACCAGTTTGGAAGATCTAGGCCACATGTTGTAGGCAGAATAGCCAACAGCAAGTACAAAAGCCCTGAGGCAGGAACCAGTGTGGCAAGAGGGGATGGTACCCTAGGAAGTCATGAGCTAGAGATGCTGGACTGTAAAGCAGATCTTAGGGGCCTTGAGACCAGTGTGGGGTCCGGGTTTTATAGGAGAAGCCACTGGAGGGCTTTCAGTAGGCAATGCAATATAGTTGCTATCTGTCAAGATTTCTGCCCACCATGAACTCACAAAGGGCTCATCAAGGACATCCTGGCTCAAGATCCACCACACAGTTGCAGTCAGCACTGCCAGCACTGAGTGGGCACTGCTTCCCAGCCAGGCTGCTTCCTCACAGCAAAGGTGAGCCCCTTTCAGGCTAGCCTTTGGTGCCAATGATGTCAAGGCCACCTTACATGATCAGACTCAGCTGTGCCAAGTCCAGCTGGCCTCCAGGGGAGGGGACAGGGACACCACCAGGACAGAGGAGCAACCAGAGCTGTAAAGGACCCTTGTGCTTATTCCTGAAGAAAGGACCATGGGAGGCCAAAGGCAGCTGCAGGAAGCCCAGGCCCTTGGACTCCTAGTGAAGACACAGCCGGAGCCCCATGTTCTTAGCACGTGGTGCAAACACTCCCGGAAAGACCTTCATCAGCTACCAGACTGAAGTCACAGCATGGCTGGCAGGAGCTTCATCCACCTCCAGTCTGGTCCTTCAGGCAGTGGGAGGACAAACAACTAGACTTAAACTGGCAGAGCCCACCCTCTGCAGAGTCACCTGTATTCCCTGAGAGGGGCCACCTGGGTTACCTGGGCCATATGCTTTCTCCCTGGGAGCTTGTTCCCTACCCTGTGGTCACGGTTTCAGGAGAGTCTGGACCTGCTCAGACTCTGCCCCATCCCATGTCACCTGTGATGGTTCCCCCATGGGCAGGAAGAGCCCCACAGGTAATCTCATCCCCCACCCTGTCCACTTAGGGTAGGGGACTCCCAGCATTCCTGTAGAGGAATGAAGGGACAGTGCAACTCCAGCCCGGAGGACATCACACTTCTGTAGCCTGCAAAATGTGAGTTGCCTGTGAGGCCTGTAGAACACTGGCTTTCTGGGTACAGAAGGGCTGGGGAGCAGCTCCACCCCACACTGTGCTTCGCCTCTTTTACTGAGCCTCTGAGACCTCCAAGATGATAATGGACAAAATAACAAAGTGGCCCTCAGGGATGCTGCTGAAGGAGCTGTGTCCCAGAAATGTCCTCAGAGCCTATTCCCTCCAGCCTCCATCAGCACTCCTTCCTGATCTCTTGGCCCTATCCACAGGAAGGGCCACAGGGCACAAACACCTGACGCTTGGTCGCTGTTTGGACTCTTGGTCCTCTCTAGGTGAGAAAAGACCCTGTTGGGGAGAGAATAAGCCTCTTTGGGTGATGGAGGCTCCAGGGATGGGGAGGCTGGCGGGTCACTCTCCTGCATGTTTCCCTCCCAAAATGACACCACCACCACCACTCCAGTTCCCAGGAATCCCCAGCCCACTGTAGCTGTGGAGGTCTGAGACGAGACCCCACACCATGCATCCAGCTTGGCCCCAGGTGGAGACCAGCCAGGCCGTAGGGTCCATACCCTGGCCTCATCTGTCATCTGACACCTTGATGTCCCAAGATGCCAGGAGTAAGAAATCCTGGGATTCAGAAAGCACTTAGGACATACCTGGAGCTGCGGGCACCTGAACTAGCCTGTGGAGCTGAAAGCATCAGGCTTGGTCAGACTGTTCCTCTCAGAGTGCCCAATGGCCCAGAGGTCACCCAAGGGCCTCAGAGGCCAGGTAGCCACGGCATGGGCAGCCCTGAGTGGGCTCTGAGGCACAGCAGGTGTGCACTGAGCTGGGCAGGACAGGGGCAGAGAAGCCCAGCTCAGCCACTACTCCTGCCCGGTTAAGTTGCCCCTGGGATATCTTGGTCCAGAGCCAAGAGGAATATGACAAGAGGCTTCCAGAGAAGGCTGAAGGATGTGGCCTGGCAGCTCTCTCCAGGGCAGGAATCTCCCTTTCCAGCCTACCACCCTTCCCATCTCCCTCTCAGGGGAGCCAATCCAGGGACCTTCCCCACTTCACAGCTGCGTCACTCCTCTGGAATGCACTTTCCATTCTCCTCCCCCTCTCCCCTCCAGTTCCCTCCTCCCCCCGCCCCCCCCGCCCTTTCTCCACCCGATCCAGCCAAGCCAGACCCCAGAACCTGATATGCTTGGCACCTCCTGTCCCCACTCCCCATCCCAAGGTGGGGACGAGGCAGGTGGAGAGGAGGGAGGAAGATTTCTGGAAGGCTTATCCCTAAATTCTCACCATACCCTCAGCTGCCTAGAGGGGACACTTACTTAGAGGGCAGGGCCGATCCAGGGACCTTCCCCACTTCACAGCAGTATACCAGAGGCAGGGCCTTCCTGTCCCAGGACCATCCCTGGCTGATACTAGCCAGGCAGCCTAGGGCTGGCTCCAGCATCCCCATGTCCATTCTGGTCTGGGCTCCTGCCTCTGGGAGCCTCCCTAAAGGCAAGGGCAGCAAGACTAAGGGTCTCTCTGGCTGTCTTCACAGGGATGCTTGCAGAGCATGAACTCTGTGGCCCTAGGCCCCCTCCTTGTAGTCAGAGTCTAATGAGGCTGGGCTCCCCCTTTCCTGTGTTCACCCCACCTGGCCTCAAGTGGGTTCCAAGAATCCATCAGCAAGAAAAATGCCCTGACCAGCCTGGGATCACAGCGGCCCTCCAAAATGAAGCAAGCCCCATCTGTCACTCAGCCAGTATCCCACTACCTACACAACCTGACAGCCTGCACACCCCATTCCTGTCCCCCACCACACCCAACACAGGGCTCTGCAGCTTGGTGGCCACATACCTGATCAGGGTTCACCTGGGCTTGGAATTTTCAAGACAGTCCCTGGCTTCCTTTCTGTCCCAGGACCGTCCCTGGCTGAGCCCCTTAGCCTCTACTGTTTTAATCACATACCTCTGGAGCTGCATCCTGTCCTGCTGCCCCATCAGAACAAGAGGCTCCCCAAAGACAGGGCTGTCACCCCATCGGTGGTCCAGACCCTGCAGCCTAGACTCCATGGCCAGTCAAGATGGCACCAGCCCCTCTGTGGCTCCCACTAACCCTATACTCCATTCTCAGCCCAGAGAAGGAGGTGAGGGTGAATGACTCTAGGGACAGCCCCTACAGGCCCAGATCACAGGGCAAAGGAGAAAAGACTGGTCATAGCCCCTCACCCCACACTGCCTCGGCCAAGCCCTAGGACTTCCCAGGGGATTCCCAGGAAGCTTGGCCAACCTAAGGAGGAACCTGGCCAGGCCCCAGGGATGGTGGCTAGGTTCATAAACAGGCTTTTATAGCTTAAGAGAGGCAGGGCAGGCCAGCCAATGGGGAAGGCTCAGACCTAGCTGCCTGGAGGCCTCTGTGCCGTGTGCTCATGAGCACCCCTCTGAGACCAGCATCTTCTTCTATACATTGGGCTCTGCAGTGGATTTCGTGAGTGGATTCGTGGAACAGAGCCTGGGAGCACTGTGCACTAGTACCAATGGGCTGCTGCTCCTGGGCTGAGCAGAAGTTATCGTTCCCTGGAGGTGAGCCAATCGGGACAAGAGAGCAGCAGGGTCACTCTAGTCCCTCTTCTCCCTGACAGGCTATTGAAGGACTGAAGGAGTAAGTGGCACCAGATAGGTGCCACCTCACCTCCAAGAACGTGGGGGCCACCTCTGTGGACACCTCACCTTGCAGCCCCTCCACCCAGGCAGGGGCAATCACCTCCTCTCATCATGAGTACATCCTGCCTGGTCCCGGGTCACACTGTGCAAGACTGGACACAGATGGCAACAGGACCCACCTCTCCCCAAGGAGACACTCTGTTGCATGCCATGGCGGAAGCACGGCCACATCCAACTCCAGGAGGCCAAGGACCAAGCAGCACCTGGGAACCCTCACTGAGGATTTAGGGCCCTAGGGCTCAGTGCAGGGGAAGGAGGTGGGCGTAGGACACCAGGGCAGCCTCTACGCAAGATGGCCACTGTGCTGAGCCCCAGGCTCCACAGTGCACACATCTGGGTAAAGTCTGGTTATTACAGGTCACTATGTATGATAGCAGTTCTGAGTCTGAGCTTCCTCTGGTCAGATCCTCTCTGAGCACACTCTAAGCACAATCTCACTTCACATTAAAACCTATCCTCAAGGGGTAAAAGGAATCAAGATGTGTTATGCATGTGTACCAACTCCTCACAATGAACATAATCATATGCCGCAAATATGTACTAATAGAATCTTTAAAATGTAAAAATGAAGCATCTATTCCTATTTCTATATTTATATCAGATGATCAAGGTTCAGAGAAGGTAAGGAACTTGCCTCCTGCCACACAGCTAGGGAGAATGAGGATCAGAGCTTGAGGCAAGGTAGGGGAGTTTATAATCCTGCACTTCAACCAGCACATCTCCAGGCTGGCCTTGCAGAGGCTGTGGACAGCAGGTCAATGCTCGCCAGGCTCCCTGCCAAACGTGTTCCTGAAACACATCAGCCAGACTTCCCCAAAGAAATCCACCAAGAGGTGGGTGAGGGGGCTGGTTGTGTAAACTCTAAGGGAAGTCTTTAGTAGGATGACACAGGGCCCTGTCCTAGTGGGAGGCTGATCCCAGAGCAATCTCCCACTGGAACCAAAATCAGGAGATGGTGTTTTGGGCAAAACAACCCACTGAACTTCTGCCTGGCAGATTTAAAACTCCACTGTGCACTCACATGCAGGAGCTCTGCTGAGTACGTCCCATGCAGAGCTTCTGAGGGCCCAAGGCACACATGGCCTCTGTCCACAGGTCCAGAGTAAGAGACTCAGGACTTTGGACCTTTGAGATGCAAGTCAGAACCAGACTAGATGATCTTCAAAGGGAGGAAGCCTCTGACCAGTGGGACTTGAAAGTGGGCAGAGGAGTCAGACACCAGTTTCCTAATTTGGTCACATCTCAGGAAACAAGACTGGGATGAAGGAGGTCAACTCAGTGGGGGGCCCCTGTGCAGGGCAGGGGTGCCCAGCACTCAGAAGTGGCCAGATCTCTGAGGGCTGGGCACACAGTCTGGGATGGTCATGAAGGCAGTTGCAGCATCCTGTCTCCAAATGAGAGAACCCTCAACCCAGGTTCACCTTGCTGCCCAGAGTGGCTGTGGGGTCCAGGAGGGAATTGCCCAGCCTCGGGGTGAGTCACTGTGGTCCGACTGATTCACTGATCCGGGGGAGGTGTGACTGAACTGTCCACTGTCTGGAGGCCCGGGCCAAGGTCATCATCCTGGCTGGCTCTGCGGTGGGCCCTGCCCAGTGGCTTTGCAGCCGGTGATGATCTCATTTTACCACCCAGCTTGGCTGGCTGTCACGCCCATTTACAGATGGGGAAGCTGAGGCGGAGAAGTCCAGGCTGAAGCCACACAGGACAGTGCTGGAGACAGAGCTGGGCAGGTCTGGCCAAGCCACTGTGCCTACAGTGTCCAGCAGAGAAGGACCCATGGGCACTGCCTGTGCTGAGCAGAGCATTGATCCTTTTCAGTCCCTTGGTCAGAGCATGAACTCTGGGGAACTGACTCCCAGCTGCAAGGGCATGAGGGATTCAGAGACTCCAGAGTAGGAGGACCCATGAGTTCATTAAGAGTTCCTAAAGGAATCAAGGCAGAGCGGCCCTTGGTCCCCTGGCCAGCCAGGTGCAAAGACCAGAGCAACATGGAGCCAGCCAGTGTGCACAGGTCAAGTCCCAATCTCCTCCCTTCATCTGCAGAGATCTGACCAGTGGCCCCGGCCAGCCGAGGGGTCCAAGCTGCACCCCTTTCTGATGGCCCTGAGCAAACCTCTTTCCCTGAGAGCCTTGGTTTCCCCCTCTGTCCCTTCCATGAGCAACAGTACGGCCTCCTACCTGGTCTGCAGAGTGGCCACAGGGTGGACATGGCTGGAGCAGGCATGAGGAGCCAGTGTTCTACAGGAGGAGATTTCCATCTGTGATGGTCGTGGTGATGCAGACAATGTCCCTGAGCTTTACATTTAAGAATGGCTAAAATGATAAATTTTGTGTTATGTGCATTTTACCACAATTTTTAAAAAAAGAAAGAAAGAAAACCCCTCTTCAGGAAAGATTTCAGACCAAGAGCTCCGGGCTGGGGAGTGGTTCTTCTCTGCACATTTATTAGCTCATGCACACCAGGAGCGGCTGGGGGCAGTGCACAGCCACAGAGTCCACGGGCGCAGGCGGGGTGGGCAAGCGCAGGAGCTGGTCACCGGCAGGGTGGCCTCCTTAGCCACACAAGGACAAGATGGGATGGCCCCTTGGGCTCTCAGGCTCTGTGCCATCATTGGACATGAAACACACCTAGGGGACAGGTCTGTGGATGGTTGGGCTGGGGCCAGGACTGGCTTCCCTTACATTTTCCCTCACATCCAGGGAATGGAGGCCAGGTAAGAAACACACAGTCTTCCTGGGCTGGGGTACAGGTTGACTCAGCTGTATCTATGAGGAGCACTCAAATGGGACCTTGACTCCTACAGCTTTATCCAGAATGCTCAGAAAGCCTCGCTCTCCCTGCAGATCCCCAAGAAGCCACTTGATGGAGAAGTACCCTGACCCCTGGAGAAGCACTCACCAGACATTGTAAAGTCCCAAACTTACTGGTTTCCTACCCATTCCAGTGAGGTGACTCAGGCTCTGCTAACTGTCTCAGGTGCCCCAGGTGCCCAGGTATCAGGCAGTAAGTGACCCACCCAGGGGTGGCCTTTCCAATCTCTACCCAGGAAAGCTCCTCTAACTTTCCATGCTCACATGGGCCCACAGTCCAGGTCACCATGTCAGAAGCCAGGGATCAAACCTGTGTCCCCTGGGGACCTGTGAGAAGAGGGTGGGGGGAAGGCCCTCTTTCCTCAGCCTCTATCTCCACCTCCAGCCTGAATGTCCCTTTGGGGACACTCCATTTGATGAGATCTTTCCTATAGTGGGCCTAGGCCTGGAGAATCTGACACCATAGGGACTTGAAGGGGCTGAGGTGGCTCCAAACAAGCCCCTGGGGCAAACAGGAGGGTCACTGGGGAAGGAAGCTGGCCTGTGGCCTTCTTGGTCTTGGGATATCTTCTGTTTTCTTGCTCTTTGTTTTTGAAATGCACAAGTTGATTACTTATTCCACAAAGAGTCCAGAGGGAAGGGAGTCCATGCTGGGCCACCAGCCCACCAACCACTTCTTGAGGCTCCCAGCCCAGACACATGGTGGACAGCGGTGGCTCAGACAGTGAGAGAGATGAAGCTGTTGTAGCGTTGAATGTTTCTTTTGAGGATCTCAGAGCAAGGCCCCAGCACACGCTCAAAGCGTGGCCGGTCCAGCTTGACACACTTGAGGGGTCCCCGAGCCACCACAGTGGCTGCCCGAGGCCGGTTCAGCAGTAGTGCGATCTCCCCTGGGGACGAAGAGAGCATGGTCAGGGGCTCTGTGGAATGTGGGGCTCTCAGAAACCACTTACCTCAGGCCCAATACCACCATGGGCATTGGGCAAATTTGAATTTCAAATACTGTACACAAAAATGTTTAGTGTTAAATGTGTCCAGCCAAATTTTTTTTTTTTTTTGTCTTTTTCTTTTTTATCGGTACCGGGGATCGAACTCATGACTGCCTGCTTGCAAGGCAGGTGCTTATGCGGCTGAGCTAAATCGCTAGTCCCTCCAGCAAAATATTTGATATATATTTATACAAATTACCAAAGCATTCATTAAGCAAGGCATTGTCCTGCAGCCACTGGAGCAGAAGGAACCAGCCCAGGTGTGCTCGGGACACTACCCCTTCAGAACACAGGAATGCTGGCAGTGGGTGACCCCTGTATCTCTCCGTCCTAAGCCTGGCCCTCCACAAGGTCATGTCCTCTCAGCAGCCACACAGGGGACCAGCTGATCCTGGGGCCCCAGGCCCTGGACCTGCTTCACTTAACAGTTCAGCACAATCCCCTGGGGCACACCCACCCCAAGGTCTCAGCAAGCCTCTATGCAACTTCTCATCCAACACCCCAAAAAAAGAGAAGGACCCCAACTCACCAAAGTAGTCAGATGGCCCCAGTCGGCCCACCTCCACGTACTCCTCATTGGGGGACCGGCGCTGGAGGACCGAGGCAGTACCCTGAGGGAAGAAGAGAGTGGACATCACCTGTGGGGGCTCATACTTAGGTCAGTTGCAGGGGATCACCCCTGCTTGGCTCCTTTCTCCTGTGTAACTCTGACACCACTCCTCTTGCCCCCACCCATGCCTCTTCCTGAACACTGGACACCGATCTGATTGCCACAAGGTCTAAGTGCCTGCCCAGAGACCAGGCTTACTCCTGTTTCCATGGAGACACATGACTGCCCCTCCCCCCAAGCAATAATCCTAAGGTACCCCATTTTTCCTTCCCTTCCTGAGGTGCTTGGTGAACCCCCGGATGGTCCCCTGGAGCAGTGCTGGGTGGGGGTGGTCTCTTAAAGCTGACCTTGGATGGAACTCAAGGACAGAGCACTGCGGGCAGGGAGGACATGGTCTCAGGGTCATATACCTGCCAACATGGCCCCTCCTCACCCTAGAACAGGGCAGTGGGGTCTGCAGACATCACCAGTTCAATGATTAACGCAGAGGCTGTGGGCAGAATGCCACAGGCCCCACAGGAGGCAGCACACATCACAGGCTTGGTGAGGGCAGCAAGAGTGGCAGGACAGCCAAGTCGCCCAGCCTCCATGTGCCCTTTGGCTGGGCTGGGAGTAAGGTCTATCCTGGAATCTGGCCTGAGCTCTGGCTGCAGACCCACCTGGCTGCTGGTCACTTTGGAAAGCCTTTTATGCCAGCAGAGTTTCCCCCTCCATGGCCCATAGGGTTCTGGGGATAGTTCAGAGGGGTTTCCAGCCAGCAGGGTGACTCATGCCCAAAATATTACCACCCTGAGAACCTGACACCAGAGGATGGCAAGTTTGAGTCCAGTCTGGGCAACTTAGTAGCTTAGGCAGATCGTGTCTCAAAATAAAAAAATTTGAAAAGGGCTGAGGATATAGCTCAAAGTGAAGGGCCCAGATTCAACTCCCAGTACCACCAAAAAGAAAAAATAAGCTTTCTATGCTACCCTATGGGAGCAGTGGTTTTTAACACTAGGCCTGGCCAATAGCATGGCCAGCCCAGCGAGGGCTATTTGGATCACTCTCTGAGCCTCACACATTCTGACCTGCCATGCATCATGCTCTATAGTTGAGAAGGCGGGCTCCTGCCGCCGGCCTTCTGGTCCCCAGGGCCACCTCTCCACCTGGACATTCCAGCTGCTGGGGCTCTCTGAGTGAGCTGGCATGAACAGCATCTCATTTCAAGGTGGGCTTGCTCACCCCAGCTCACCCCACCCAGCTGGCTGGCTTAATGAGTAACTCCCACCCCTCCACGGTCTGGGAGAGATGGGTCATGGCCCATGGTGCCCACTGTGCCTGGAATCCCCAGGCACCCATTGGCAGCCCCAGCAGGCTGGATTCCCCCCTCCTCCGGCCCCTCCGAACGGGGGCCACTGAGCTCTGGGCCTCTGCGTGTTTATGAATCCAGCTGATGGATGGAGGGTGACATGTAAACATCAGACCACCCCACAGAGCGCCCACCATGAAGGCAGGGAGGCAGGGAGCACGCCCTCACCCCAGCCCTCAGCACGAATCTGCCTGCTCCAGCCAGTCTGGCCCTGGCTGGCCAGGTGCAGGGCACAGGGTGGGCTCTTGGTTGTACAGGGGCAACCTCAGCCTACTCCTCCCATGTCTGGACTGCAGGTGGCAACAGTTGGGGTTTCTGCTCCAGAACTGAATGCCTTAAGCCACGGAGAAATTATTTGGGCCAGGGGTAAATCAGGCCCTGGGCACAAGGACAGCTAATCTTGAGATCCCATGGCTCTGGCCCAGTTGTCTTCCGCACTCATTCTTCCTGCTTCATATGCAAGTCTGTACCTTTCCCAGCATTTTTAACAATTTTCTGAGTTACAGTTGGGATTTCTTCCCAGGAACCAGAAGCTTCTGGTTTATAGAATCATTCGATAAAACAACAACTGAGAACAATGGCTTTTAAACCCAGACACAGAACGCCAAATTTGAGAATGCTAAAAGTTAATAAAGGCAGGGGAAGACAGGCAGGAAGGCTTGAGGGTTGGCCAACACAGCAGCAGGCTCCTTCCTGCACTGGAGCCTTGGCAAGAAGCTGCCAGAGTTCCAGGAATCACTACATGCTATCCCAGTACCATCAGCAGGAAGAAAGCCCACTTTTTCCCTCTATTCAATGTGAAAGCCTTCCAGGAGCTCCTAGAAATGTCATCACCATAGCAGACCTTTTACTCATCCTGACAAGTTGCTAAAAGAGGAGATGGGACCAAAAAGATTGGCCTTAGCCCTCAGGCTGCTGGGGATGAAGAGGGCAGGGATTCTAAAGGACAGGAAGAGGAAAGGGTGGGCTTGGACACACCACCACTGGGTGAGCTGTGCTGACTGTTCACCTGTGTAGTCACTGTCCTGTCACTGATCTCATGGCCTGACACAGCCCCAGCTGCCATAGGCTTGAGACAAGGCCAGCCTGTCCCTGATACACCAAGCTCAGCGATAGCTACATCCATCACAGTCCCTCCCACCCACGGCCCCTCTTCAGGAGATACAGCTCACCTAGCACTGTCCTCATTCCCACATGGCCCAGCAGGTTCCTGGCCTCCTCTCCCATCCCTCAGCTGCAGGAACCCTGGCTCTTGGCAGGGTCTGAGCACCGGGTGCTGCCAGTCTCCAACACCCTGTGGCTTCTGTGGGGCCAGCAGCCCACCCTGTAGCTTTTGTGGGGCTGTGAGACTGTGGCGACACACCCCACAAGAGTCAGGTGCCGACCCTCCCACCCTCCTTTGGCCTACTCCAAAGGAGCCGCACCTAGAGTTCCTGGGGGTGGGGGATGTGCCATCTGCCTGGGGTGAGGGAGGTCATTGCAAGACACATGAACTGCCCTGGTCTGTGCAAATCTCCAGCCTTGAGTGGACTGATGGCATCTACTCAGCTGGCCCCTTCACCTCTAGAGTGACCACCACACCCATCAGCACCCTCCACTACCCCATCTGGTCTGTGAGCCTGGGATGGTCACGAAACCTCCCAAGCAAGGTCCGTGGGTAGGCATAAAGCTTCACAGAGTGAGAACTGAGCAAAGGAAGCAACAAAGAACACAGTAGACATCCCTGAAACCCTGGCCCCCCTGCAGCTGGCAGTGTGGCTTGGGACAGAACTGGACTGCAATGGCAGCTGTAGCCAGTGATCAGACCAGAGCTATTAGGGAGCTAGGCCCCTGCTTTGGGGCCACTGCTCCAGGAAGAGACATTGCCATGGGCATGACGGCTGCCTGGCCTCAGCCCATTCCCAGATGTTGGCCTTGAATGTTTGTCCCTTTCATTTGCTCCACTAGACCTACTGAGCAGCAACCATGTGTCAGTCACAGCTGTTGGGCTGGGAACATGGCAGACACATCCCTGTCCTCTTGAGGTCAACCACAGCAGGGAAGAAGATCAGAAAGCCATAGGCTCAGACACCATCAGTACATAGGAAGTAAATCAGGAGGACAAGAGGAGCCAGAGGGAATGGGGGAGCCTCCCAGCCAGTAAGGGGAGCTGTAGAGAGGATGGGGCAGGAAAGGGGAGGGAACAAGGTTTCCAGAGGGGACAGAGAGAATGGCAGGGTTTGTTTGTGGTGAGCTGTGGCCTGGAGGCCAGCCGAGGCCAACATAGAGCCCAAGCTCAGCAGCACCTGGACATAATCGAGGTCACTGAGAAAGCATGGGGACCTGGGGCCATTCCCAAAGGGCTGTAACGTTGGCAGGCAGCATGATCTCAGGACCATGGGAGCAGCTGGACAGACACACAGGCTGAGTCCACCCAAGTGAAGCCCTAGAACAGGAAAACTATGTGCGGTTTTCAAGAAATGTATGTTAAAAGAAACCTGTGTCTCTACCATTCATGGAAACAGGTTTCACTCCCCCTCAGAGCAAAGGAAAGGCATAAATGTGATGGGGCTGGTGCTGGAAGGGGCTGACAACACACTAGGAGCTGGAGCCTGCTATCCCCCAGCTGTCTGCACCATAGTCAGAGGCTGAGCACAGGCCTAGCTCCCCAACAGCCTTGGCCTTATCCATGAGAGGGCCAAGCGACCCAGTGGACAGCATCATGGGGCAGAAACCACAAGAGAGGACAGGGAGGTGAGTGGACACCAGAGCTCAGGGTCACAGTACTCAGCAGATTCTCACCTTTAACAAAACTCCTTAAAACCTGGAAAATTTAGGCTCACTCTAACACTGTCACGTTTCATGCCTGTGTAGTTAAGCCAAAGCTAAATCCAATGACGGAGTGTACTCGCGAGCATGCACGTACACACGCATGCATGCATGTGCAAGTATGCATACATATACACACACATGCACCCACACAGAGCACTAAACCCACCTGGGGCCTACAGGACACCTTCTAGAAGCTCTGGTTTCTACTTTCTTTTTCTCTCTTTCCCTTTTCTTTTCTTTCTCTCCCCTTCTTTCCTTCCCCCCCCCCCCCCGCCCCGTACTGGGGATGGAACCCAGGGCCTTCACACTGAGCTACATTCCCAGCTATTTTTCTATTTTTGCATTTTGAGATAGGGTGTCATTAAGTCATTAAGTTGCCCAGGCTCGGTTTGAACTTGCAATCTTCCTGCCTCAGCCTCCCAAAGTACAGGGATTACAGGTGTGTGCTATCACTGCCAGCTACTTTCTGAAGTTTTGTTTGTTTTGGTCTTTTTGAGACAGTGTCTCGCTATGCAGTTCAGCTGGCCTTGAGCTCACTTCTTTGTAGCCCAAGCTGGTCTCAAACTCACAACGATTCTCCTGCCTCAGCCTCCTGACTGCTAGGATTACAGGTGTGTGCCACTTTGTGTGGCTTACTTTTTGAAGTTTTTAAGAATGAATCACCATACCTAACACTTTTGGCCACATGGAAGGCAATTTCCATCCCAGTTCCATGAAAATCTGTTTTCTGCCCTTCTGAGTGCTTTCTCAGTGCACACAGTGGCTTCTCGCTGGCTCATTTGAGGAGTTTGGATTTCTGGTCATAAAGGTGCCCTGCTCAGCCCCTCTGGGCCTGACAGCCT